ACAATGTAATGTTGTGATAATGCGCTATATAAATAAAATTGAATTGAAAAAAATTGAATTGAATGCCATTTGTGGGCCCATCAAACTATGCAGCATCACGCAGGAGTAACATCTCCCACATTTGACCCCCACATGACACTCAGCCTGAGGTCAGGTGACCAATAGGGCCTGACACAGCATGAGGCCAAGATATTCATATTCAGTGGCCTCCCCCATCATGCCAACAGCAGTATTTCTTTTTGCCAATGGCGAAGGGAATTGCTGTAATTGTTCATGTTTGTTTCTTGTTTTTGAAATTTACTTTTCCACCTGGTGACAGCTTTCAACAGCCATCTTGCAATAATTCAAAATTAACCTTCCATATCCCCCCTTAAAACACAGCAACACAAACCATTATATACAGCGCCCTCCACAATTGTTGGCACCCCTTGTGAAGATTTTTAAAAAGGGTTATAAAAATGCACCTTTTACTGGAGTAGCTTCATCTCACGCTGAAAAAATGAGAAAAATCCAATCTTTCATTGAAATAAATTTATTCCAAGAAAAAAAATCTGACCTTCATAAATCTGGGAATGGATATTAAAAATAGCTACTCACCAGAAAATGCCCATTTCTACTACTAGGGCAATAATACAAAAGTGGACAACAACTGGAACTGTTACAAACCTGCCTGGAAGAGGACACAAGTTTATTTTTCCCCCACGTAAAGTGAGGAGGATCATAAGAGGCAAAAAATCCCCTAGGATGACCGTTGGTGAATTACTAGACCAAGTAAAATCTTGGGGTTACCACATCTCTGAAAAAAACATCAGATGCCACCTTCATGCTAACAGATTATTTGGAAGGTATGCCAGAAAAAAACTTTTTTGTCAGTTAACCACAAATGTAAACACCTGGAACCAAATTCAATGGTCTGAAGAAACAAAAATTGAGCTTTTTGGCAATAAACATTCAAGGTGGGTTTGGCATAAAAAGAAGGATGGCTATGATGAAAAGAACCTTATCCCAACTGTAAAATATGGTGGAGGTTCTGTGATGTTGTGAGGCTGTTTTTCCTCCAACAGCTCTGAAAACCTTGTTAGGGTACATGGCATTTTGGACTCCATGAAATACCAGGACATGTTAAATCAAAATTTGGCTGCCTCTGCCAGGAAACTGAAACTGGGCCGTCACTGGAACTTCCAGCAGGACCATGATCCTAAGCACATGTCCAAATCAACACAAAAATAGTAAACTGACTATTCAATCAAGCTTCTGCAATGGTCATCTCAGTCCCCTGACCTGAACCCCATTTCCTGATTTCCTGTTGTCTGTTTCTCTTGGGTGTACAAAGTACCAGAACTTCCAATTTATGGAGGGGGGGGAGTACTTCAGGGTTGGAGGAGCAAGCCACTTCATATTGTCTTGACCTGCTCGTCTGGTCCTCCCGTGTGCCATGTCCCCTCGTTAACCTCACGTGCAATCCGGATTGTTATCAGCTGTTTCTTGTTATTCCCATTGAGTCCTGTGTATTTCAGTCTGCGTTCGAGTACGTTTCCCCAGTCCTGTCATTGAAGTTTGCACCGCGTCTTTGTGCCTCGCCTGCGAATAAACCCTGTGCTCTGGATTTCCGTCTGCCTGACCCTGACTCCCTGCTCGCTCACCCGACACGCAGTCATTACACATATATTGTATCATATCATGGAAATGTTTAGAAACTTGTATAGTTCATTTATTTTATAGTATATTTACATGTAAGTGCAAGTGTGCTGCTGCAGAAGTGTGGAACCGGTGAACTGATGCTGGTTCTGGTCGAAGTGGAGTCTCAGTTGTGGAAGATGCCAGAGGAAACCAGAGGAAACAAGCTCACTGGCTGAGCCCTCTGCCAGGGTGTCCAGTGTCTGACTGCCTTGTATTTTTATTATTATTTTTATTATTATTATTATTATTATTATTATTATTATTATTATTATTATTATTAGCAGTCCTGGCACTAGCTGTGTTGGATCCCTGTTGGTTTTGTATGATTTTTTTTCTTAATACGTTTTGCTTATTTTTATGTGCTGGGCAGCTTGATTGTGAGATTTTGCTGTATATAATTAAACCATGACTACATTAATGTGCTGTCGAGATGAAACCTTTTGTCTTTCTGAGGTTTTTGAGAACCTGTATGATGAAACACAGCTGGTCAGCCCACCAGTTCAAGAGATCAACTCATTCCTGTGGGCCAGCAGATCATTTATGGCACTAAAAAAGTCTGTGAGCTGCCTCAGTGGATATGCAGAGGAGCACCGCGCAGACAAGCAAGAGACTCCTGCAATGTATTCCATGGGAATTTATATTTTCTATGCATGTACACTTGTCAAACACACAGAAACTAAATACACCGATTAAAGAGATTTTGACACATTTAGATTTCACTTAACATTTTATTGAACACGAATGCATTTCCCTCCTAACATTATAGACCATAAACACATGGCGTGAGGCATGTAGCGGCTTAATTTGGAGAATCTGCAGCGATATGCTGGAACGCCTGTTAGCGTATTGTATCTGTAGCTGACTGCATCGCTGTAGTGCCGCCCGAGGACCAACTAGGGCGCTTCCAGTTCCTGGCTCTCCGCTGCTTTTACATCTAATTGTACAGTAGTGCCATCTATTGGTGAAACAGCGCTACTGTAACTTGAGCAAAGACGTAAAGACATTAATTGGTCATTGCACTTGTTACCGGTCAGTCAATGAAAGATCAGATTGGAAGATCTTATGCCTATTTGACTTCTTGACAGCTGTATGCTTGCTATGTTCTATCTGTTCCACTTTGCATGTTGCTTTGGATAAAAGGGTCTGCTAAATAAATATACGCAAATATAACAATAGTGTTTTTTCAGCATCGTTATCCACAGCATACTGGCAGGATAAAAATCGTTGGTCCTATGCCCGCCTGCAGGATGGGGGTTTGGGCGTTATCTGAAAACCTTTTCCTGAGTAAGGTTTCCAAGGAACTCTGGAAAGTAAAGTGAAACGCATTATTCCCAGTTGTCCAAAGATGGGAGTTTTAAGCTGGGACTGTTTTCTCCCGATTTTGCTTGTTGTGGGACAGCAGCTGTGTGACTCTGGATCCAGTAAGTATATCTGTGTTGGCCTGGGGGTTTATAGCTAACCAGTAGCCTCTCGTGTGTGTGTGTGTGTGTGTGTGTGTGTGTGTGTGTATATATATATATATATCGATCTAGATCAGGGGTCACCAACGAAGGGGTACCAGTTTGAAACGCCCTCCTAAACCTATGTAAACTTAATGTATGATAAACATGTTTTAAATGCTTTTTAAAAAAAGATATTGTCATTTTCAAATCTATATAAATGCAAATGTGATTAAAGGAGAATAGCAACAGGATAAAATTACATGGTAACACTTTATAATACTGTTCCGTAGTTAACAGGTAAATATGCAGGAACTGAGCAGCAACAAATGAGTAATGCTTCATTAACACCTAAATTAGTACTATTCACTACTAAGGAGTTATGCTTAATTACTCAATAGGTAATAGTGAACTAATTGTTATAGTAGTTCGCAAGTACTTCATTAGGAACTATTGAGTATTGCAGGTCTCGGAATTATCTACTAACTATTAGAGTTGAGCCGGATACTCGGCTGAAACGAGTATCCGGTACGGATAAAGCACTTTTGACGAGTACGAGTATCATACGAGTAATACAAGTCAATATCTGTGC